TGGGCTGTCCACTCTTCCATTAGCACCAGGTGGCAGCTGATCTTAGCAGCCCAGGCCCGCTCCTGAGCTGCAGCTCCACATCCTCCAGATGCAGCACTAGAGGACACCTAAATCCCTGTCCTGCATCCCCATCTCCTGCTGGGGACCGCTGTCTTGGCCAGCAGCTTCGTTATCCCACATCGCAGATGAACAGCATTCCCATCTTCTGCCTCTCCTTGAGATCCACCCCCGGGTTGTTTGATTTGCGGGCAGACGGCTGCACTCTGGCTCTGAAGCTCATTTTGCTTGCGATGTTATGGTCACTGGTGGGGCCGGTGCTGTGCACACCAGCAGCAGATCAGACGTACGATGGGCAGAGGGTTGTAGGTGCCAGCGTTGTTTTATCAGGGAGGTTCCTCCGTACTCTCCAACGCCTCGTGTGAACGGAGCAAAGGTGCTCTTGCTTGAAGCTGCTGCACCCTCAAGTGAGACCCAGCAGTGTCACCAACAGAGCCGCAGCCGGCGCGGAGCAAGGGCACCTCTGCAAGCCTGAGTCCCTGGCAGCTGCCAAATGGTGGCTGGTTGCTGAGACCGGAGCAAAACCCTATGCCCTGGGAACTGGGACCTAACAAGAAAGCAAGCCCAGTGGGCAAGGAGAGGACCCCAAGGAGAGCCGGAGCCGTTGCTGTGAAATGTTGTCATCAGTGGAGGGGAGAGGGTAGGACTGTGATGGGCTTTGGACCCCCTTCTCTACCCATTCAGAGTGTTGCTGTTCTCTTAGGTGTGTGTTTTAATAAATGAAGGTAGCATGGTTTTCCCTTTCCTTTGATGCTCTGGAAGCAACACCGCGTCTCAGGGGCTCTGCTGGTCCCTTCCTTAGTCCGTCCTAACAGCTACACAAGCAGAATTGCTCGCAGCCTCCTCCATAAGCAAAGAGCCTCCTGCTTCTTTTCTAGCAACATATTGATATACAAACATATTGCAGTTAACAGCACCGTTATGGCTGCACCAGTACTCTGATTTTTCACTCCAGCTAACGTGAGAAAACAGATTTAGGTATTTTTACCAGACTTTCCTTTCTGAAATCACTTTCCCCCTCTCCCCCCCCATAATAGGTGGTTTTGGAAGCATTTTTCTATCATCTCTGCTTATGTTTTAAATTAAGACACACGCTTTCTGGGGACGCTGTCTGACAAGGCACTGAGGCTGGAATTCCCACCTAATCTTTGTAGCCTCCATGAGTTTCTTGAGCTGATCAGACATCTTCTCCCCGCCTTGCTCCCCCCCAGTTTAACTCACAGAGCTGACACAACCTAACAAACACCAGCCATCGTTCCTTCTTCTTCGGTTAAGCGCTCTGTGTGCCCAAGTGTGCTTTTTTCTTGCCAAGTTAGGCTAGTGGGCACGTTGAGGATCCTATGCATCGCCGTGACCGGGCTCTGCAGTCACCCTTTCCCCGTTGGTCCGTTGCTCAGTAGAGCCAGGGCCCAGCTTGGCATCGTGCTGCTACGGCGAGGTTAGCCTCTTCTGGCTGTATTTGCCACCTCGTCGTGGCCCTTAGCTATCCCAGGCTGAGGGTTGTGCACCGTACACCCTCCATCTGCGCAAGGTCAAAGAGAAACAAAGGGATGGGGGATTGGTTCAGCACATCGCATCCAAGATGGTGATATTTTTGGGTGCTCACCTTGATCTTGTGATGTTTTCTATCAGCCTGATGAAGGAAGGGGGACTATAACCCTCGCAGCAGAGGAAGAAGGGTCTGTGAGCCACGGTCCTGGGATTTTCAAGAGGTTTTCAGACATTGCTGCTTGGTGGTGGTGTTTGTGGCGGAACACGCAGAGCAGAAAATACTGAGAAATAACTTAGGTATTGAAGACAACAAGAAGACTAACTTGGAAGAGGAGCTTTTCTGCCGAAGGGTGGTCCCTCACAAACCAGACAGGCTCTTCTGAAGCTCAGAATCGACATGGCAATCGGATAGCAACATGGAAAATGCAGCTCCTTTCCTTGTAACAGCAGTGAGTTGTTATCCTGCTGTCACACGTACCCGCTACTGGTGTCAGGCACGCTGTAGGCCTGGGGGTTACAGCTGCGTACATCAGCCTGCCGAGCTGCAAGCGCAAGAACACCGTCTGCAGGAAACACCATTTTGTGGTAGCTCTGAAAACAAGGTGGCAAATCTGCTTCAGTGCGTGAATTATACAGCTTGTAACGTGTCATCGGCGGGACCTTATGGGTGCCAAGTCAACCCTCAGAAATGAGAGGCTATTGGAATGAACATCACCCCTGTACTGCGCGTTACTGACCACTATAATGGCTTGGCACTGCGGTAGGGAGTAGACTGCCCGCCAGCTTGCCACGTTGATGCCCGCTGTCCAAACTACTGTTCCTGCTGGCCTCATCCCTTCCCCAAAGATGACTTCTTTTTTGCGGGCACTTAAGTGCCCCGTAGCCAGCTGGCACAAAGCTGAACAGCACAGTGGTGTCTCCTGCCCTCGCAGTCTCCCGACCCTGCTGAGCGCACGCCGCAGACTTCTGAACGCACTTGTGGACTGTAAGACTTCCCTGAAGGATTTTTGACAACCTGAACCAAATCCAGTGTATGCCACAATGCATGAGAAGTGCTAAGTAGCCAGCCTGTCCTCACACCACTAGCCGCCTTCTTTCCAAACACACAGTAGCTCCCCACAGGCATTGCTACTAGAGCATCAGCCAAGGAGGCCTTCTTTGACAGCTCCTTCATCTTCTGCCTCATGTTTGAGTTCTCAGTGTACGTCCGGGGACTCTGGCCCGTTCATTCTTGTTTCCTGTTTTCATACGCCATAAATCTCTTGCTGGCACATGTAGACGCAGGCTGTGTAGCCAGCACCTGCCAGCCATTAATAACGCTGCGCGACGTGCCACGTTGGTGTGCTTTCCTAGGTCACGCATTTCCATCAGCCGCTGAGGTCGGCGTTGAGTTCCCCTGGGAAGCTGCTCAAGTCAGGATGACACAACTCAGCCTGGGCTCTGCTGTCAGTGGGGAGCAGAGGGGATTAACCAAGCTGGGGAGCTGAAGGCCCTGGAGTTGTCTAAAATCAGTTAATAAGCAATATATCTCAAGCTAAGCAACAGAAGACTAGGAACTGTCTAAAATTTGCAAGCCCTAGCAGTGTTGCCTGTTTTAATGTGAGCGGCAAGAGCTAGCTGGAAAACATCTCCTGTGTTTCTAAGAATCTGCAAAAGCATCCTAAAATTCAATGCTGCTGTTAAATGGTCGGGCTTCAAGCTTCTCAGAAACGTTACCTTCCAACAAGACATCTTAGAGCAAACTACAGCTTGTCTCCTGCAAGGAACCACAGAGCTACGTGCTGTTGCCAGACACTTTTTTAACAGGCTGCATGGTTGCGGTGATAGGAGTTTTCACCTTGATAGCCCGTATGGCCACGCAGGGTACTGGCAGGCAATGTGTCAGCCTCGCAAGCGCAGCCAGCACATCCGCAGCACTCTGCAGCCGCTGCATCCAGCAGAGCTGCTCGAATCTCCCAGGCTTTGCGACAGAGGTGGCTTCTTCAGCAGCATCCTGCTACGCTGTCGAAAACTTTGTTCGCTTTGCCCGCAGCTCCTCTTCGGTTCTGCAAAGGTGTCGTTTCTCAGCCGAGCTGAGGCTGGGGGGAGATGCAGCGGGTACGCAAAGCCACCGTGCCACCCTGCATTTTGCTTACGGATGCAGTTCTAGGAGCTGCTGTGCCAAGCATTTTCCTTCCAACCACCCTGACAGCTGCTTGCCCATGATGGTTATGGTTGTGTCTTTCCCTGTCAGAAAGTGCCCAGCCATGGGAAGCGCTGCGTCGGCTGCTTCTCCGTGGGTCGCTGCGCCTGTGCTCCTCGCTTCGGTCTCTGTAGTAAGAGCCGGGCACGTGGGCGCAGGTCTCCCTCAAAATGAGCCTGTGCAGCTCCGGGCACTTCTGCGCTGGTGGTCCCAAAGCCTCTTTCGCTGGCACCGTTCCCCCTTTTGCCTGGGAAGGTTTTGACATGCAGAGGGCGGCACTGGAGGCAGAGGAAGACCAGTTGGTGCTCCCGTCACTCGGGGTTCAGAAAGCGGCACAGCGGCCCAGGAGGGATCGAGCCAGCTTCTCACCGCGTCCTGAAGCAAGCCAGTGCTGGGATGCTCCCCGGGGAGGCACGGGGTGCATCTCAATCCCCGCAGGTGGAACGGGAACAGATTTTGTCCCCTTTCTCCTTAAGAGCACAAAATGCTTTGGGGTGCAAGTACCTTAAAGATCCTGCTTTTGGGGTACCCTCAGCTCGGGGGTAGCCTGGCCAGGCCTCAGATGCTGTTGCAGGTTGTTGCCAGCCACCGCCATGTCCCCGAGTAGAGGGGGAAGCTCCCATCTTGCCTCCTCCTGCTTGCCTTGTCCCCGTGGCCCCAGCTTCTTCCTTCCTCGTGGGGTGCCCATCTCCCCTCACAGCCCCCCAGGCACGAGCCTGTGCTTCGGCTCCCCTCCTCGGCCCCTCCCCGGCCCGCCCGTTTCACTGTCCCCTTCTCATTCCGCCGTCACCGGGGCCACCAAGCGGGACGGGGTGCTGGGGCAGACATGTTGGGGCTGCCCTGCCTGGTGGGTGAGTGGCCCCCGCCCGCCCCTGCCCACCCTCCTGGGGCCACCTCAGAGCTCTTCTTTTTCTTTCTTCTTTTTTTTCCCCTCTTTTTTCTTTTCTTTGTCTTTTCTTTTTTTCTTTTTCCTCTCTTTTTCCCCCCTTTTTTCCCTTCTTTTTCATTCTTTTTCCCCCTTTTGCCCCAGGGCTCCTGGTTCCCCTGGGGCCCTGCAAGCAGGGGTGATGGAGGGAGACCTCAGGCCAGCTCATCCCAGCGCCCCGCTCAGCACCAGCAGATGGGAGCAGGCCGCCCTGCCAGCTGCTCTTTTGTTTCCACCACCGCTTGCTCCCGTTAAGGAGGGCCAAGCGCAGCCTGCCTTCTCCCCCAGGGCTGCTGACCTTGCTGATGTCCTCTGTTGCTCCACCGGTGCCTCCCGCTCCGGGCAGCCCCCTGTCAGACAGCGAGTACCAGCTCTTCTTTGCCAGACTGCAGCCCCCCTGGAAGGCGGAGGTGTCCTGCCAGCTGCGCCAGGCACACGGCTGCCTCAGCCCCGCCGTCCTGCAGCTGGACCAGGAGGAGAACCATGGCCGTGTCCCCAAAGGTAGGGACGTCACCCCACCTCCAGGGGCAGAGGGGATCATCGCCCCAGCTGGAGCAGTGCCAGCTGTTTCTCTACCCTGAAATGCCACAGGATTATGGGAATGGTGGTGGGATGGGTTGTTTTGGAGTCTCTAGCCCGGCTTGGAGCAGGACGGTCCCAGCACTAGAGCACCGTGGCTTTGTGCAAGGGAGTTTGGTTTTCTGGCTTCTCTGGGCACCCCTTCCAGTGCTGCACTGCTTTCCTTGAGAAAAAAGCTTTTCCTAATGGCCAGTCCTAACCTCCCAACAGGAATGTGCAGTTTTTTCCCTCTTGTGTTGTCTGGAACCACCACGAAGAGGTTGCCTTTGTCATCTTCTAGCTTTCCTTCAGGTCCTTGTGGGCTGCCATTAACTCACCTCCCTGTCTCCTCTTCACGCAGCTAAATAAGCCCAGCTGCCCCAGCCTCTCTTCACAGGTCACGGGCTGAAAGCCACGGCCACCAGCTCTTCCGTTTCTCCACATCTCCATTGGTGGGATGGCAGGGGAAAAAAACTGGCCACCGTTTTCTAAAGCTCGCTGAAGCTCATCATCTCTTCCCAACAGTTCATCTTACAACCTGGCTGGCTCCTTCCAGCTTGATCTGGGGTTTAACGTAGAAGCTTGTCTCATGGGCTCTCATGGGCCTTTAAGAAAGCTTGAGCTGATAAGCTGCTTTTTTAAGTGTTTAACATTTCAGGAGCCAAGAAACATCCCAGTTCAGGAAGCGCCATAGCAACAGCACCCTTTAAATCTCTGCCGTCTTACTTTCCCTGCACCCCTGCATCAGTGAATTTAAGTGGCATAATTATATCTGTGCAGCTGAAAAACTTGGGACTACTTCTGTTGTATTTTTCTTCAGAGGAAAAAAAATAGGAACAATTTTCTCATAAAAAAATGTGGCTTTATATTTAGCTATGAACGTCAATGAACTGAGTGATCAGCCAACTGTGCTTATTTGGACTGCAGCTTGAGGGCAACTATTTCTTGCTTGTTTCTGCAGCTGTGTCGGGGGAACGGGTCCCACCCCACACCACCAGACCCAGGGACGGGTCCTTGCTTGCGGGCACCTGCAATCCATGATGCCGCGGCTCTGGGTGCACCCGGGGGCTGTCCCTGGTTCCTCTCCTGGCGATGCCCAGCGCCCTGGCACTGCTCTTTGGCCTAACCAGCCACTCTCCCACTGCGGCTGCCTTCGGAGGCTCAGCCGCCAAGAGCAGGAGCATCTGGGAATGCCAGGAGATGGGACAATTTTGCAGGATGCCCTCTTTGCCTTCTTTTCCTCCATCTCTCGACCCAACAGACCCATCCGGCAGACTTTATTCCCCCTTGCGTTCCCTTTCTTCCAGTTTTGGGGCTATTTTGGCACGTGTCGCAGCTGGGCTGAGAGGCCGAGTGGATGCGGCAGAGCACGTGCCCTCACATGTTTTGTCTCTACTGTCCTTACAGATAAATGGCAGTGCTGTCTACATCCAAATATTCATGACCGTTAATTGTGCCTCTTAGGTGTGGTGCCGAGGAAAGCGGTCACCTTGTGTTTTAAACACGGGAAGCCTACATGTAGCCTTTCAACACTCTTTGTTGTGGAAGATGAGAGTCGGGAGAGTGTTTCATGATGAACGCATGCAAATATCTTGACTGGTTCCATCTTTTAGTGACGATGCAATTGTTAATTAATTGCCTCCACACACACACCCCCTCCCCGTGCTGGGAGCTCCTGTGGGTGAAGTTGGCCACAAAGCCCAAGGGGGTGGCTTCCTGACACCCAGCAGAAGCCGTAGCCGCTTGCAGCCAGCACGTGGGCAGGAGGAGCAGAGGGAAGAGGCAAAAGCTCATAGTGATTAAACTAAGCAGCTGGAGCTGGAAGGGCTCCCCTTGGCAGGAAGGTCAGAGGACTGAAAGAGAGTATTTCCATAGGGGAGATGAGTTGAGAGAAAAGAGGAGATGGGGATCAGTGCTAAAGGCGGCAAGCTGCTCCTCAGGCCATGCCATCGTGCTTCAGAAAGCAGAGCCATGGTGAAAATCAAGAGACCAGCAAAGAGAGCCTGCAGGAAACTTTATCTGTGTCAAGTTTTCCTTCACTTCCCAGGTGCTGGAATGAAAATGCACTTTTTTTTTCTCCCCCGCCCCCCCCCCAAAAAATGGAAAGTTTCTGTAGCATCATAGGAATGTTTGTGACAGGACACAGCAAGCTGTAATACTGCCCGGTATGTGCTGCTGGGGCTGCAGTCCTGGCCTGGGAGAGCCAGGGTAACACTGGGATTGGCAAATGGTTGGGCTTCTCCCCTGCCCAACGGGTAGCGGTGGAATAAAATGCTGCAGCTCCCGCTCCCTTGCACTGGCCGAGCCCCGATCCCCCACGTCCTGGAGGGATTTCACAGGGCATCACCAAAGGACAGAGCGGTGGTCTGGCTTCTTCCTTACAAGTTGGGCATTCTTCTGGGCTGGGTGGATACCTGAAATTCTGCTTTTGCTGGTAAATCTGTATGCTCAGCACAAAAAAAGCAGCATGTACAGTGTAAAAGATGGTGTACAAGCAACTAACAGGAGAGCAGTGCAATTCCACTGCTAACCTCCTCCGTCTCAGCCAGCACTTGACCCGTTTGCTCTCTGCAGAGGGCTGGCTGTGCTAGCTGGGCCATGCACCCGCAGAGCAGAAGATCACCCCTCTCCCTAAACCTCCCAGGGATTTTTGGCTCTCCTGCGTGGCCTCGGCTGTCCTGCAGTCACTGCAGGAAGAGCTGCAGCTTTCGGGCCAGCAGGGTCGGCAGCGCTGGTCAAGACTATGGTGCACGCGTGTGCAGGGGATCTCAGCCCTACGGACTTTCCTCCGTCCCCTGCACGGCTGAAATCACTGTCAAAGTATTTTGCTCCAAAGAGGTTGTTTCCTCTGGTGTTCCCAGGCCCAGTCTGGTCATCTTTTTAACCCATCACATCACTACTTGCCTTTTTTTTTTTTTTTTTAAACCCTTCAAGAACTAATAACAGAGTCCTTATCAGATCGTGGAAACAGGAGGTTTGGGTCTCTGTAAAAGGGAAGATAACAGCGTGAAAAAGGTCAGCAGGACGAACTGAAACCCTGGGTGGTTTGGAGGGAAAGTGCATGTGGCACCTGGGATCGGGAGCTATAACAGCACAAGGCTGGGAGCTCCACTTGGGGAGCTTTGACTTTCCCTTCAACCACAAGCCGCTCTGAAAGCAGCCATCCCAGAGGTCCCCATCTGCCAAGGGGGCAGATGCCTAAACCTGCGGCGTGCCCCCATCCCACATCTCCCTCTCACCCCTCTCCAGGGCCGGTCTGCTCTGAATTCCCAGAGGCACCGTGGTTTCAGACCTTCTGCCAGTTCGCCCAGTACCGATGCTTCAAACACCAGTTCTACGCCAAGGTGGGGAGCAGGATTCAGACCGGGGAGGGGGGGAGCATCACTTGGGAGGTGGAAGAGGTGAGGAGGAAGGGAAGATACCACAGCGGGACTTGTGTTTCTCCCTCTCTCCTCCACTCAGCGAATCTCATGTCTGAGTTTGTCTCCTCCAAAAAACCTTCTCCTCCCAATGGAGCAACCTCATGCTGCGGGCTCCTGGGCAAGGGGCGAAAGCTCTCCTATGGAAGAAGGTACGGCTGCACCGAGCTGCGCTGGGCACCCCTGCTCTCCTGCTGTTCTCCCGTAGCTACTCTTCCTCCCCCGGGAGCTTTCTGGCTGGCCTCGGAAAGGTCCCTCAGCCCCCCTGCCCTGCTCTATCCCCGGCTCCAGGGCGGGCTTCTCTCTCGCCCGCTGATGCCCTGCTGCGCACCAACGTGGACGCTCTCCTGAAGTACTCCTATGCACTGTCGAGTCAGAAGCCGCTGCCGAAGAAGCTCCCCCCGGCCACAGCAGGGGTGCCGAGACAGCCGGAGGACAGGAGGCCGCCTGTGCTCCCACCAACCCTGCCGGTCCCGCCTGCCCCCTCGCCTCCCAGGCTGGGACCCCCTGCCCGGGCGGCGCAAACCTGGGAGCGACGCCTGCAGGACAGCGTCTGGCAGCTGATCCACTTGGCCCTCTCCTTGGAGACATCCCTAGGCACCGAGGGCTCTTCTCCGGCCTCCGGCACCAAGTCAGACCCAGAGAGCACGTCAGGCAACGCCAAGGAGGGGGTGCAAGAAACAGATCCCCCTGGCAGGTGAGGTGAAGACCCCTCTCCCCGCCCGGCAGGGTCCCGCACACCGTGCAGGGCTGTCCTCACGCACGCTGGCTGCTAGCCCCACGGCGCTCATGCCCCTGCCTTGAGCAGCTGGCGAGCGCAGGCAGGCTTTCTGGAGCAAGCCATCCCGTACAGAGCAGGAACGTACCCGGGGAGCCCCTCAGACACCCCCCACTCCAGCACAGAGTGAGCAGGGAGAGGGTGACCCGGCACTGCTAGCGCCTGGCAATGTTACCATCCTTGTGTCCGGAGCAAAGTGCATTTAGGCTGGGCCTAAGCTGCAGGCAGGGCTTTATCCCATGCACGTGTATCCCCACACAGTGGCCGTTTGCAGCGCGCAATCACCTCTGCAGTCATCCTCCTCCCAACTCACGTCTCCCAGGAGTCTGGATGGCCTGCAGAAACAGCTTCCTTGCGAACACAGGTCCTTGGGTGGCTGGAGTGAATGTGTGTCTCACTGTGCTCCTCGCCTCTCTGCGTGCAATATGAAGCAGATGTTTCTTAAAACATCCATCCTCACCCAGGCAGAGCAAAAGCAGCCCTGGGCTGGGAAACAGAGCCGGGAACACAGAGCCTTGCTCCTGGCCGTGCAGGACCGCTACTTCTCCTCCAGCACGTGCACCTTGCTGAGCTCTGGAGCCGTTCATTGCTCTTCCTAGGGGATTTCTGGTTCCCCATTCCGGCTTTGAAAGCAGCTGCATGCCGGTTCA